TATATATATATATATATATGAATAAATACTTCATTTTAAAATTTCCTGCTAATAGGTTCATTGGATGAATCTGAGTTCTATTCAGGATCAGGGAAAACAACTGTCTGAATGCATTTTTTTCCAGAGAATATGTACTTTTGGAAATTCCTTTCATGTGGCTATACAAAATGCTCTTTTATTACCTTTTATGCTTTAAGGCCTCACTGGAACATGAAGAGGGCAAACTCCTCCGCATCCAACTTGAGCTCAACCAGGTGAAATCTGATATTGACAGAAGAATTGCAGAGAAGGATGAAGAAATTGATCAGCTGAAGAGGAATCACTTGAGAGTGGTCGAGTCCATGCAGAGCACACTGGATGCTGAAATTAGGAGCAGGAATGATGCCCTGCGGCTTAAGAAGAAGATGGAAGGAGATCTGAATGAGATGGAGATCCAGCTCAACCATGCCAACCGTCAAGCTGCTGAAGCACTAAAGAGCCTTAGGAACACACAAGGACTGCTCAAGGTACATATACACTTCTATATTCAAGAAACACTTGCAATTTTTATTGTGCATCCATTTCCCAAGGCAAATATTGCAATACCCTCTTCTAGGATACTCAAATACACTTGGATGATGCTTTGAGAAGCCAGGAAGATTTGAAGGAGCAAGTGGCCATGATTGAGCGCAGAGCAAACCTGATGCAGGCTGAGATCGGAGAGCTCCGGGCAGCTCTGGAACAGACAGAGAGGGCCAGAAAGGTGGCTGAACAGGAGCTTCTGGATGCCAGTGAACGTGTGCAGCTCCTCCATACACAGGTAAGTGTGACATAGTAATCATAATATCGATTACTGCATTTATGCAAGAAAGGACAATCATGCAAACTAAATATGGACTTGCAGAAGTTTAAAAATATACAAATGTTTTATAATAATCTGATATGGATTCCCATAACTAAAAAAAAAAAACCCTCTAAAGAAAGCTTCTTATATTTATTTGCTATTTATCTGAAAAGTTTTAATGCTGCTCTTTAATTGAAGACACTTACAGCTGGTAAGTAAAGAGACAAAAGCATCTCTGCTTACAAGCTTGCTTCTTAAAAAGCACAACCAAAGAGGAAAACTAGAGAAGAGAAAAGAAGAAATTAAACAAATTTGGGTACCAGTTCTTAATAGTTACATAATAAATCTCAGCTCTGCCAGAGTGAATGGAGTTCATTCCAGCCACAGCAGAATCAGTGGGGGCACTATTCTGCCATCACAGTTTCTTCTGTAGCTTGATTACTAACAGAGGAGACGGTGAAGCAGGCTGGTCTCTCCATTGTAGGATAATGGGTGTAGAGTATTTCTAAATAGCTGCAAATATGTTCAGTTTGCAAAAGAAAAGGAATCCAAATGACAAAGTCAGCCTTGGTGCTTTACAAAAAGTCTGATTTTTCCCCAAATAGAATACCAGCTTGATCAATACCAAGAAGAAGCTGGAAACAGATATTGCACAAATCCAGAGTGAAATGGAAGACTCTATTCAGGAGGCACGCAATGCAGAAGAGAAGGCCAAGAAAGCCATCACAGATGTGAGTTGGACCACCCGTCCTTTGAAACTGTTTAAAATTTACCTGCATGGGTTTCTGAATGGCAGTTATTTCTCTGTAAATAGGCAGCTATGATGGCAGAAGAACTGAAGAAGGAGCAAGATACCAGTGCCCACTTGGAGAGGATGAAGAAGAATCTAGAGCAGAGTGTGAAGGATTTGCAGCACCGTCTTGATGAAGCAGAACAGCTGGCATTGAAGGGTGGCAAGAAGCAGATCCAAAAATTGGAACAAAGAGTATGTATTCCTTGTACACACCTTCATGCATTTCTAACTCTATAATAAAGGTTACTAATGGAAGTGCTAAGTGTTTGTTGCATTTCAGGTGCGTGAGTTGGAAGCTGAAGTTGAGAATGAGCAGAAGCGTAGTGCTGATGCTGTCAAAGGTGTTCGTAAATATGAGAGACGAGTGAAGGAGCTGTCTTACCAGGTGAGGACAGAGATTATCTTGATAGTCCCCCAAAGGTATCAGAAATCTACATTGATAGACAGACAGACAGATATAGAAAAAAAAAACCCTCACAATTTTGCCTGCTTTTCTACTTTGTTCAGTCTGAGGAAGACCGGAAGAATGTTCTGAGACTCCAGGATCTGGTGGACAAATTACAACTGAAAGTGAAATCATATAAGAGGCAGTCTGAAGAAGCTGTAAGTATACTTCTGAAGTTGGTGTTGCTTGAGCTAGAATTATGAATGTGAATGCTAGAGAAAGAGTAAAGTTTTTGTTATCAGTTATTACAAATCAAATTAACCTGCATATGGCACAATGAATTGAGGGATGTAAAGAATAGAAACAAATGAAGCTCATTGTGACTGGTGCAGGAAAGATGACCTCCCTAAGGTAAAGCCTTCTCCTTGTATGGGTCACAAGAGTAAGTCAGGCTTTGAAGGGGAAAACACTTGTTAAAAGTTAGCTATTAAAGCAGCACCAAATAGCAATTGATCATATTACTTTATATCACTGGTCTGCACATTTTCAATTCACAATAAATTGAGTGTATTTGAGGAGTGTAGAAAAGGTATTACCATTTAGCAAAATAATGTATAAAGAATAATCCAATCCATATTATATTTATAGGCTACCTTTTTTTTCAAGATGCTTAGGACTCATTCCCATTTCTAGTTTTGTTTTCAGAACCTGGTGAAGATTAGGGTAAGAAATAGTGCTTGGCCCAAAATTTCTCAGCTAAGCTTCATGGCTTTGTGAGAATCTGAACCTGTTTTTCCCACTTAAAAACAACTTTCTAATTACCACTCCAGGTTATCTCTCAGTTAAATGGATCAGGTATATTTATTTCTCTTAATCAGTGGGGTTTTTTTTTCCATTTATGAATCCACTAGTATATTTAAATATGATTCCTAGCAACTTTTTCCTTGATAAAGATATAATGATACAAGGAATCAGTACAAAATATGAGTGGCTAGAGACATGATTACATGTATATGGAACTCTGCATACCTATCCATACCACGTAACATTAATAAAGATCACCTGGAATTACCAAATGTGTATATGGATCAACGTATAGTTGTCAGGTTCAGCCCAAGAACCACAGCAAGACAATCCAGGAACAGTTCAGTTACTTTATTAGCTTACACCTATTAAGCAGAATCTCATCAGACTCACTCTAAGCCCCAATGATAGCAACTATAACCCTGAATCCCTTAGGGAGGGGCCAATCTCCTTCTCTTCATTTTCACACGCTCTGGCTGGAGGCTGAGGAGATACTTGGAATGCCACTCCCCCTCCCTGTAACCTTGAAGCTCCATTCCAGGATCCTCCTCGCTCATGCCTTCCATCACAGTAGTTGTACATCTTCAGCTGAGTCTGATTCAACAAAGCCACATGGACACTCTTAGAATAGGGCAGTTGCTTCCAGGGCATTTTTTTCTGTTCTGAACCTTACACACATATCCATATTCCCATGGTTGGCTTTGGAATTTGGAGGTCATAGCATTTAAATGCTCACTACAATGTGCAAAGCTGGCTATTTTGAAACATTCCTTATTACAATGCGGTCTAAATGTAATACTCATTTTTGTATGAACATGCCTATTTTTCATTAAATGCTATGAGTGTTAATCCTGCTCAGGATGGAGTACGTACTGAAGATGTTACCTAGCCAGGTAATGAAACGTTTGCAAGAAAACAACCAAGCTCAGAGAACCCCAAGGACTCCACAGTATATTCATGGTACAGTTCCTGGAGAGTACAGCTGAGCCCATGAGGGGAAAGGCTGGAGATCTGAAATCTCATCTCTCAGGAAACTTTTGGGTCATTCATCTTGGCCATTACCCCTCTTGACTGTTGGGATAGTGGCTTGGTAGTTTACGCTGCCATCGCCTATCTTCTAGGGCAGCAGTTCTTAAACTGTTTGACTCAATTACCCTTTTTCCTGGTTTTGAATAATGTCATCCCCCCACACAAAACAAAATAGACTGTTGCTTTACACAGGTGTCTCAGCAGTCCCAAACTGGATCCTTGAGTCACAAACAAGCAATAACAAATTGCTCCATTAATCCAAGATATGTCTAAATTACCCCCAGTTTAAGAACCACTATTATAGGGGATGTCTCACTTGGCATCTTCCCCCTAATCCTGGTGTGTACATGAGAGAGGGCTTTCAATACCTGCACTGCTTTTTTTTGGCAATTAAAATGTGAAAAATAAGTGAAGAGAATTGCAGAATTATAGGGTTAGAAGGGACATTGGATGTGTCTCTAATTCTTGCATTTATATACATTAGCTCCTTGCTGATAGGCAACGAGAATCCAATATGTAATTCCAGTATCTCCTTAATGCTAACTAAATCCCAGGAACACTATGATTAGGCAAAGATTAATAAATTCTGAAGGACCATTTTTTAAAAGATTTTATTTAACTTCCATATAAAAGAAAGCATTCTAAAGATATGTCAAAACAGGAAAATATTTTCCATCTTTTTAAACCCTCCTATGTTTCCCAACACTGCTGGGTTTTTTCCCCCCTTACCTTTAAAAAAATCTCTTATTGAGGGAAAAAAATTACAATATCTGCATAGTGTTTTTTGATTGGTAGCTTTATGAACTTTCCATCTGGAAGCATGCCCAGTGAGGACAAAATGGGGTGCAAAGGAACCGTTTCCTGCTGGTATTTTGCAAGAAACAAAGAATCACCTGTGGATGTGATAAGATAATCTGAGGAGATATTCTGTTAGAGAGACAGAAAGAGGAGCTATTTTTGGTTATACCTACATTTCCTTCCTCTTCCAAAAACTATTTATACTATCTAAGTGTCTCATATCTTAATCTATTTATAATATTTGTCAATACATGGAAAATACTACTAGTACTACCACTACTACTACCACTACTACTACTAATAATAATAATTTTTAGGAGGAACTATCCAACGTGAACCTTTCCAAGTTCCGCAAGATTCAGCATGAGCTGGAAGAAGCTGAGGAGCGGGCTGACATTGC